TGGGTCCACCTGTATCCCTATTTAAACAATTTGTTTTTGCCCTTCCCCTCCACAAATTATACCAACATCAAATACAGTGAAAGCAGGGGTTACACCGTACCACTATAGATACACTATAGATGCACCTGCTCCCTCATCTATGTCAACAGTAATTCTACCTTTCTAGTCACTCACACTCTTACAGGATCCTCTTATATCTATATTCATTGGGAATTCATGTCAAGCTCAGCTTCTACAATGTACCTAGACTGTGACCCTTCTCTCTATCTCCATTACCAAAACCCTGACCAGTCTCTTGAATCAATTAAGTCTCTTACTGTTTCCTTTCTTCTGCCCTTGCATCTAATATTCTTAAGCAGTAGCTAGAACAGCAAGCCACTCTCATTCTCAAAAACTCCCTATGCTTCCCATTTCACACTGAGCAAAAAGCGCTAGTATTCTTACAGCCAAGAAGGACCTTCATGACCTAATCGCCCATTGCTTTCTCTTTGCCCTCTGTTCTAGTCCCTCTGGCCTCTTCTTTTGTTTGAACATTCCTGAACCACCTAATACACCCACGTGAATTAGCTTTGGCAAGTCAATCTGCCTGGTGTGTCCCACCAAGCCTGCCTTTTATACCTGGCTTTGGAGTCCTCCTTAATTGTTACATTTTATTTAAACCTCTTACTTCTCAAAAGAAGATGTATCACCCAGTGTGGAAGAAATAGTTGTATTGTCAAAGCTTATAGAATTCACAAACATTATAGACCATGATAATGACCAAAAAATAAGATGTAAGAATTGCCAATAAATATATGAGGAAATGCTCAACATCCTTGGCCATAAAAGAAATGCAAATCAAAACAACATTGAGATGCTATCTCAGCCCAGTAAAGCTGGCCAGCATCAAGAATTCAAACAATAACAAATGCTAGTAGGGAAGGAGAAAAGAAACCCTATTACACTGTTGTTGGGAATGTAAACTAGCACATCTATTCTGGAAGGCAATTTGGAGAATCCTCAAAAAACTAAACATAGAAGTACTCCATGATCCAGCCCCACCACACTTGGACATCTATCAAGAGCACTGCAAAGTCAGTATTCATTCAGTAAAGACACACATCCATGTTCATTGCTGCACTATTCACAATAGCCAAGTTATGCAACAACCCAGATACCCTACAACAATCAAGAAAATGTGGTACCTATACACAATAGAATTTTACTCATCCATTAGAAAGAAAAACCTGTCATTTGCAAGGAAATGGATGAACAAATTATGTTAACAAATTATATTTAACAATTATATTAAATGAAATATGTCAGGTTCAAAGAGACAAATGTCACATTTTTTCTCTCATAGATTGAAGCTAGATGTAAAATACACCTAGGCATGATAATATATACAGGGCCCCATGCATTTACACACAAACAAAATGACGAAAGGAGGGTATACTTAGGGGAGGTGTCCAAAGGCACAACTCCTCTATACAGCTAAAGTACTGTTTATCAAAACAAATACTAGGAAATTGAAACATGTTTTGGCTTTTGCAGGGAGGGGGGAGGTGCATGGAGGGAGCACTGGAATGGAGGAAGGAAGGTGAGCAAACAAAATCATTGTACCCCATATACACTATGTAAAAAGTAAACAATGTAACTTGTGGGTAGGGATGGAAGGAGGAAATTGGAGATAATGAAGGAAGGAGTGACATTGTCAAGAAGCATTGTACCGGGGCTGGGGGTTTAGCCCAGCGGAAGGGCGCCCGCCTGGCGCACACAAGGCCCTGGGTTCAGTTCTCAGCCGTGGGGGAAAAAAAAGACTTTATAAAGAAGCATTGTACCTATAATCTGATTTACAACCCCTTATACAACTACTTGATAATAACAACAAAAACTTACTACCTCATTTCTTCACACTCTCTTTATTTCCTTCTCTGCTTTATTTTTTATAGATGGCACTGATTATCATCTGACATATTTTACACATTTTATTTATTGTAAGCTTCATGAGAACAAAATCTTGTGTCTGTTGTTACCTCTGCTGCATTCCTCATGCTTAGACCAGTACCTGGCCAGTACTGACTGCATGCAAGAATAATGAAGAGATGAGTATCAAATTACCAATCAACAATATAATTTTTATCATTGCAGATTGCTTAAAGGTGATCGTTCTGTGTTGTAGCCCTATGAACCCACCTTACCTTCCGCCTCCATTCCTTTGGTATCCCTGTTGATAGTCTGGCAACTGCCTTGAGAGCATCATACCACTAGGAACAAAGAAGAAATACCAGGGGAGTAATAATATTGACCTGGGAGAACACTTTTCAACCTTTTTCTTCAGCCTGACATCTGTGGAGCATGAGAAAAACAAACTGGGATGACTAAACAAAGCTGTGTTCAACAGAAGTTATTGGTCTGGGAGCTCTGACTGCCCCTTCTTAGAGAGGGCCCTACAAACATCTGTCACCTGATACCCAATGTTGAGTGACTCTGGTTCAAGAACCAAAACATGGACTATCATGAAGCTATTCAGGTTCTTGATAATTTTTTTCACACTGATAGTATTCATAAAGAGTAAAAAGCTGGGCACTGGTGGCTCACACCTGCAATTATAGCTACTCAGGAGGCTGAGATCTAAGGAGCAAGGTTTAAAGCCAGCCTGGGCAGGAAAGTCTGAGAGACTCTTATCTCTAATTAACCATCAGAAAAGTGGAAGTGGTGCTATGGCTCAAAATAGTAGAGCAGTAGCCTTCAAAGGAAAAAGCTCAGGGACAGCACTCAGGCTCTAAGTTCAAACCTAAGTGACAAACCAAAAAAAAAAAAGTAAAAAAAATTTTATTGCAAGTATAAACTCAGATGACTTATAACTTCAAAAGTTATTTACCTGAAACCAAAAAACAAAAATTCTGATATCTTTTTGTTTTGTTTTGTTGGTTGTAGAGCTTGGGTGTTGTCCCTCAGCAACTCAGCTCAAGGCTAGCGCTCTACCACTTGAGTCACAGCGCCATTTCCAGTTCTCTGGTGGTTTACTGGAGATAAGAGTCTCACAGACTTTCCTGCTGGACTGGCTTTGAACCATGATCCTCAGATCTCAGCCTCCTTAGTGGCTAGGATTACAGGCATGAGCCACCTGCACCCAACAGATTCTGACATTTTATGCTAATATTCTCACTTTAAGATTATAGGTCAGCGTTGGTATTGCAAAACAAGGGTATACTCAAAGTCAAAAGTAGTTACCTGCTGAAATCCATTTTGACCTAAGGATGGCTCAAGTGTGAACTTCAATTTTGTATCAACTCCTAAAAGAAAAACACATAAAACAACTGTTATTTCTAGAAATTATAATGAATTATATCAAAAATAAAAACAAAATTTGGTTCTACTGAGTTGTCATATATTTTGAACTAAATTTTGTTCACCTTATTATATAAAAATATATCAATTAGTAAAATGAGAAACTTTCCTATTAAATAGAATTGAGCTTATCACATAGAAGAGCGGTTTTCACTGCTGCCTAGAGTAACACAAAAACAGAATCAAGAGATGCTAGTACATCTCAGGCTGGAAAGTACACAGACCTCCCTTCTTGCTTTGGTTCCAAGGTTCAAGCGAACCATCTCAGCCTCAATTCCCTTGTCAATAAGTATAACAATAGCTATCTCAAAGGACTGCTGTGATGATTAACTTCAAGTCTCCTCACATGAATAATTAATATTTATAAAATATAGGAAAAGGAATCTCTAAAGATTGTTTTTCCTAGGACAGTTGCACTAGACTTAGACTATTAAGTAAACTTCAGTGGCATATCTGTCAAAAAAAAAAAAAACACAAAATAAGCTGGGTGCCAGTGGCTCATGCCTGTAATCCTAACTATTCAGGAGGCTGAGCTCTGAGGATTGAGGTTCAAAGCCAGCCCGGGCAGGAAAGTTGGTGAGACTCTTATCTCCAATAAACCACTCAGAAAACCGGAAGTGGCAGTGTGACTCATGCGATAGAGCTTTATTTAGCCTTGAGCAAAAAAAGGTTCAGGGACAGAGCCCAGGCCCAGATTTCAAGCCCCAGGACCAGGAAAAAGCAAAAACAAGAAACACAAAATATTATGGTGCAGTGGCTCTAACACAGAGGTAGATGCCTGGTATGCACAAGACCTAGGTTAGAGCCTTAGCACTGAAAAATTAAAACAGTGTGTGGGTCTTTATTTTAAATTCTGTCTTGATAGACTTATTCATTAAAGATTTTTAAAAATGTGCATTTTTTACAAGTATGCCTATTACATTCTAGACTACAAGCTAAAATAGAACTGAACTCAGTCCTGAGCAATCTACCACTTTAAACTTCTTAAACGCAAAACTTAAGTGTATGGACGAGACTTGAGAAAACTATTATAAAGACTATACGTTTAGTACTTATTCTGGGCCTTTCCTCGGAATTCCAAACTAGAATTAGATGTTATTCTTGAGGTGAAAATACATAAAAATGCTTACTCCTGTTTCAATTCTATACAAATATAATCAAATCTGGAAATCCTATATGTTCTTTTTGTTTCTATAATTTCAAAATCAATGAGATGACACTTAAGTCGCTTTTTGACTTGACATGACTTACAAGTTCTAGGATCCATAAATATCAAACATTATCAGTAATCTTCAATTTTACAAATTGCAAAAAATCAAATAGTGATAGTGCTGCCTCTAAGATGTTAATTGCAGGGTAGGCATATTGGAAGCCTCTTTATACTTTCCCTGCCTAGGGAACGATACAGACAGGAACAATCCCATAAAATAACAATAACAGCAGTAAATTGGGGGGGGTGAGGAGAGATAAAGGAGGAAGGGAGGAAGTGGAGGGAGGGAAAGAAAAGGGAAAGGGAGAAAGGGAGGAAAAGAGTAAAGAAGGGAGAAATAAGAAAAGAGGAAGGGAGGGAGGGAGAAGAGGAAGGGAAAATAGATGTGTCAACTTTGCCCAAGCCTAGGACAGTATGCAGATGCTCCTCTTAATGCCCTGAAGAGTGCTGTAGATAACATACTCAGTCCTAGATCTCTAAAGCTATAGTAGAGAACCTCAGGCATGCAGTCAATGTCTTGATATGCACTTTGGAAGCCTTGGGGTTAAAACCATACTGTGTCTAAACAGATGATTTTCTTCTCCCAAGGAATATTAAGTCCCCCACTGGTTCTCATCTCTGTTGACATGATCTAAAGGAAGTCTCGCCCCAGTGGTTACACAACGGCCGCCAAGATTTCCTCCAGCTCTGGAGAATGATTTTGCTATGCGGGTGCTGTCCAAGCCCTGGGTGCTGAACGGACTCGCTTAGAATCATGACGTTTGCTTTATTACAACAAAGACCAGGAAATTTGGTCTGGCTCTGACTTTTCCCTGCGTCCCTGCCACCGCTGAGTTCCCAGTACGTCTGATCAAATGAACTCCCACGACTTTTACGGAGCACATGCTGAGAGTCATGGCGAATGTCACCCCTTGCAGAAACCCAGCTGGGGTTCAGTTAACCAAAACCACAACTATTCTCTCTGGATCAAAACTGAATTAGACGTTTTAAGGTGGAACCGGATCATTGGCTGCCTGCACACAGACGCTTCAATCCGGTCATTCTCACTCCTTTTCTTCCAACTGAATAAGAGAGAAGGTTTATGTTTCATCTGATAATCACAGCTGTTCCGGATTCGGAAATTCAAAACACTTTTTAACATGGGAAACAGATTAAAAAGAAAAGGGGGGGAGGTAAAAGACGACGGTGAATAATAGTACAATCTCTGCAACCAGACACGTCCATGGGGAGAAAAACAAAGAAACCACGAGGTTGGGGAAAGGCAGCGATACATTCCACCCCTTGGGAAGCCCGTGCCCGGGCAGTCTCCCAGAGCTGGGTGACAGCAGGTCCCCAAAGGCGCTGGAGGGCCGGGAGTGGAGACGACCCACCGCCTGGGAGCCCAGCTGGGGCCACTCTGGGGAAAAAGCCCAGCTCCCGCGCGAACAGTGCCGGCTCCCACTGCGCCCATCCCTGGCCAGAAATCTCTGCGCCCAGGCGCCCCACCCCCACCCCCTCGCCAGAGTTTCCCAGTCGGGAGAAGCTGGGATGTGTAAACAACACCCGCGCGATGGCAGGAAGGGCCTATTGTACTGCACGACCAGGAGTGCTCCGGGATTTACCTATGGACAGGATCGCGCCCCTGTTCCCCAACCCCATCCACAAATTTAGAGGTTCCTGGACGGCTGGGCAGGGCATTCAAACCACAGGGACTCAATCTGTCCACCCCAGACGCTCCCTTCCCACCCCCGACCCTCACCTCCCGCCCCATCTCGGGTTCAGTCCTCTGCCTTTCACCCATCCGCACACCTCTTTCAAGCTCTGGCTTCTTAGGAGCCCAGGGTAGAATAGGTGACGCGGCTTGGGGTAGTAGCGCAGGCGGCCGCCCGCACTTCCCCAACCACGCACCCCAGGCTGGGCGGTGGCGGGTTCTCCGCTCCACCGGAGGCCGCTGCGCCCCCCCACCCCCCACACACACACCCCAGGCCCGGATCTGCGCGTTGCCCTCCCACGCCGACCCAGCCCGGCGGGCACGCAGAGCGCGGCGGTGCAGGGACCTTGGGGCGCCCAGGCGGGAGCTCAGCGGCCCTGGCTCCCCGCGCCCCGCGGCGCGCCGCTCACCCGGCTCCAGGGTGCACAGCAGCCGGGGCGCGGTGCGGGAAATGCAGCTCCGTTTCTTGAGCACATTGCTCAGGATGGTGCCCACGCCGCCGCCGCCACCGCCGCCGCCGCCGCCGCCGCCCTGGCGTTTCAGGCATCTTCCCCCGCGCCTCAACGAGCCGGTCAGTTTGTCCTGCCTCATCGACAGCACCCGGGCTCCTCGGGCGCCGGGCCCCGTCCGCCTCGGTCCCCCGCTGCCTCGGTATGGCTTTGCAGACAGGGATCGCTAGGTCCCAGAAGGTGAGGGTCCCACCGGCCGCCGTGTGAGTGCGAGGGGCGCTCGAGGGTCCGGGGACCTGCCAGGCGCCTACGGAGCCGCCAGTCGCAGCGAGGCGGGCGGGCATCTGCAGTGCGGAGCCTGCACGGCTCGGGCCGGAGAGGGCTGGGGGCGGGGAGGAGGGCGGGGAGGAGCGAGCAGGAGATGGAGGTAGGCGGCGCCTCCGCCCCCAATCTCTGCTTCGCGGTGCGCAGGCGGGCTGGCCAGGGCTGGCCAGGGCTGGCCAGGGCTGGGGAGCCCGCCCCGAACTGGGGAGCTGGGAGGGCGAGGAAGGGCGGGGAGCCGGGGGAGGTGGGGGGAGCCTCCCGCAGAAATCAAAAATAAAGACTGATTTTTCCGTAGTTCCCCCAGGAGAAAGGATTGGAGAGGTCTCCAAAGGGATCAAGCCTCAGCAAGCTGCAAGAGCTCATCTCCTCTGAGCAGCCTGGGGAAAGGTCAGCCAGCCGGCTGCAGGACCCACCTAGCAGCAGCGCAGCCCAAGCTAGCAGATGGAGAAGCACAGCTTCATCCCAAATTGATTTCTTTTCTGGCAGCTTCGACAGGAGTGGAATGAGCATCTAAAAGAACAGTTCATGGCTGTTTCTCTGGGGGGTGGGGGATGGACTTCTAGAAAAGTGTGACTATTTTTTAAGGGTTTCCTTATCTCTCAAGAGCATCGTCAAAGATGAACTAGTATTAAGCCTGTAATGCTAGATCTCAAGAGGCTGAGATATGAAGATCGTGGTTTGAATCCAGTTCAGGCAGGAAACTTATCTCCAATTATCCACCAAAAAAAAAGTCAGAAGTGGAGCTTTGGCTAGAGTGCTAACCTTGAGCAAAGTGCTCTGGGGCAGTGCCTCGGCCCTGAGTTCAAGTCCCAGCACCAGCACAGAGAGGGGGAAGGGAGGGGAAGAGGGAGAGGAAGACAAGGGACAAGTCAGGAACTTCATACACTCTTGGTGAGAATGTTAATATAGTGTGGCCAGTATGAAGTAAGTATGGAGAATCCTCTCAAAAGAACCACCTTGTGATCCTGCCATAACACCACATGGATCAAAAGCATACCCAGAGATACCTGCACACTCATGCTTATTGCAACACTGTTCACAACAACTGAGCAATAAAATGAATAAAGAAAATACAGACTCAAGCCTGTAATCCCAGCTACTCAGGAAGCTGGGATCTGAGGGTTGTGGTTCAAAGGCAGCCAGAGCCCGAGAGTCTATGAGACTCGTATTTTCAATTAACCACCAGAAAATCAAAAGTGGTGTTGTGGCTCAGAGTGGTAGAGTACTAGCCTTGAGCAAAAGGAGCTCAAGGACAGCACCCCAGGTCCTGAGTTCAAGTCCCAGGACTGGCAAAAAAAAAAAGGAAAAAAGAAAATGTGGTGTAGCTGGAGTTACATCTCAAATAGTAGAGGGACAGACTAGCAAGTTTCAGGCCCTCAGTTGAACGGGGAGAGGGGAAACAAAAAGAATATGGCCTATAAAGTATATATAACTCATGAAGAATGAGATTGTGTCATTGGCAGGAAAATGGAAGTAATTGGAGATCATCTTGTTAAATGAAATAAGCTAGACTCCGACGATACCACATTTTCTCTCACACATGAAACCTAGATTGAAATTTCAGAGGGAACACACACACACACACACACACACACACACAAAGAAAGTAGAAGAAAGTTTCAGGAAAAAGGAAGGGACTTGTGGACGAAAGGAAAGGGGGAAGGAGAATAATAGGAGGGTGATTATGCTTAAAGTGCCTTATATACAGGAATGGAAATGTCATAATTGAGCCCATTATTTCATGCAATAAAAAAAGGAAGTGAAGCCAGGCACAGATGGCTCGTGCTTGTAATCCTAGCTATGTAGAAGGCTGAGAATGGAAGGATCAGGGATTAAGGTCAATTCAGGCAGAAAAGTTTTCCAGATCCCTTCTGAAGGCAGAGGTGCTCTATGTCTGTCACTCTATTCTACGTGAGAGGCTGACACTGGAGGCTGTCACTTCCAGACCAGCCCAGGCAGAAAAGTCCACATGACTCCATCTCAAGGCAAAGAAGCTGGACACAATGGCTTGAGCCTATCATTCCCTCAACAACAGAAAGCATACAATAGGCCGATCTTGGTGGAAGCATGCCCCTGTGCAGGAAGCAAAATTCTATCTCCAAAATAACCAGTGAAAAATAGAAGTTGAGGCATGGTAGCATGCCTGCCGAGCAAGCTCAAGGCTCTAAGTGCAAACCCCACTACTGCCAAAAATAAAATTATCTAAAGAGAGAGTGGAAAAATACATTTATCAACTAAGAAAAATGAAAAAGTCATCCTTAAGATACAATTGAATATTACCATAAAAATAAGACAAGTCCTAGTATAGTGGTATACATTTGTAATCCAAGCTACCTGGGAGGCAAGATGTAGAGAATGCTGATTTAGAGGTCAAGTTGGGCAAAAAGCATAAACCCCCATCAAAAAAAGAGAGAGATGGGCATATGGCTTAACTGTACTACAACCTAGCAAGCCTAAGGCCCTGAATTCAAACCCTGGTACTGCCAAATGGGGAAATAAAAGAGAAGAAGAGGTGGGTAAGGAATATAAGTATATTTGTATTTGCTATATTAAAAAAAAAGAAATACTAGTTCAATAAGCCAACATTTAATTTTAAAAATTTATAGGGGGGGCTGGGAAGGTGGCTCAGTGGTAGAGCGCTTGCCTTGCATGCATGAGGCTCTGGGTTCAATTCCTCAGCACCACATTAGCAAAAAGAAAAAAGCCGGAAGTGGCCCTGTGGTTCAAGTGGTAGAGCGCTAGCCTTGAGCTGAAAAGCTGAGGGACAGCGCCCAGGCCCAGAGTTCAGGCCCCACGACCAGATCCAAAAAAAAAAAAAAAATTTTTATGGGGAGGAAAATAGTGTAGAGACAGAAATGGAAAGCTGACCCCTCTTTGAATTTGCCCTATATAGTTTTGACTCTGAAATAACATGTTGTATTAATGCTATTAATACAATTTTAAAAGCGGACTAAATACTGAAAGTGCACAATAACAAATTAACTTAATTGAATATCCCATTGATAATATTAGAATACAGAAAATTATGTTGATTTTGAATGCAATAGTATACTACATTGACAATAATATATATACCCAAAAGATAAGTAGAACTGCAAAGAAATCTTAATTTCATTCAATAGGATTATTATAATTCATAATATTGGTATTTTTAACTACAGGGTAAAGCAAATACACAATTATATTTCTGTCAAGTGGAACAGGATGTTTTCAGTGTAACAGAAAATACCAATGTTATCAGCAAAGACATTATTTTCTTTAAAATACCACAATGAGTTTAAATTGGAGACAGCTGTATAAACTTCTAGTTTTGCTTCAGAAAAATAAATATGTCAATGAAATCATTTCATTAGAATGGGCAGCTCAGCAACACTAAACAGCTTGTAACACTCAGGTTCAGGTCTCTAAAAACCACTCCCCACTAACACAAGAAAAGCTTTTGATTTCAGATGTGAGCAGGAAAAGTACAAGGTGAGCCTGAATCATTTGATGAACTCAGAAAGGAAGTGCTCTAAGATCAATGAGGTCATGTGTAAAGGACACAGAGGCACATAAATAGGCTCCGATTGGCCAAAGATGAATCCATTAAAATACCAAAATCAATAGCTGGTTTTACTGAAAAAAAACATTGTTTGGGTTTTGTTTTGTTGGAAGTACTGGGAATTAAATTTAGGGCCTCAGCCAGGTGCTGGTGACTCTCACCTGTAATCCTACCTACTCAGGAGGCTGAAATCTTGAAGACCACCATTCAAAGGCAGCTTGGGCAGAAAAGTCTGAGAGACTCTTATCTCCAGTTAACACCAGAAGATCAGAAGTGGTGCTGTGACTCAAAAAGGTAGAGCTCAGGGACAGTACCCAGGCCCTGAGTTCAAACCCCATGACCAACAAATAAACAAACTTAGGGCCTCATGCTAGCGCTTTACAATTTTGAGTCATGCTCTAAATGTCTTTGCTATTGCTTTGTGTTTCCCATGGGATCTCCCCAGACCACAATGCTCTTACCTCCACCTTCTGAATAGCTGGGAACACAGGCGTGTACACCCATGACCAGCTTGTCTGGGAGCTAGATTTTCACTAACTTTTTGACAGAGAGGGCTAGTCTCAAACTCCCTTTGTCTCTACTTCCCTGGAGGGCTGGACTGATAGACGTAAGCCACCATGCTTAGCTTGTTTCTGAGACAGGGTCTCCCTAACTTTTTCCCAGGCTGGCCTCAAACTACAATCCTCCTATTTCTACCTCCTGAGGAGCTGTGTCTTTTTTTTTTTAAGTGCTTTCATAATGTTATTCTGAACAAGCCAAGAAAGGTGGTCATTCCTATAACTCTGCCACACTTATTTGTAATCAGTACATTTGGGATTTTGTGACTAGCCCTCAGAAATTGAGAACCATGTCAGAAATGGCACAACTCTAAGAATGAAATGTACAAAAAAAAATCTGCTGAAATGAGGTTCGTTAACTGCAAAAGAGAGCCAGATTGATACAGGAGATATGAGTATTCAGTCCTAGCTGCCTGACTGAGACCTCACAGTAAAAGATGAAGTCGGTGTTTAATCTAGCCATCTCTCATAGACTGCCTTAAGAGTCCTGTAAACTTCCAAACTTCTTCACCAAGCTCAGGTCCAGAAACCTATCCCTCATCACCCTGATGCTTGTTTGGATAAGTGCTATAAGTGCATGTTCAGTATTTTTTAACTTCTTCCACGTCCTCTTCCTCCTCCTTTACCCCCTTCCCTTCCTTCCTCTCCCCCTCTCTTTTTGTGCAGGTACTCAGGGCTTGAACTCAGAACCTGGGACCTGTCTTTTAGCTTTGTTACACA